CTTATCAGTTGAAATACTGAAAGATAACTGAACAAAAATATTTATTGAGAAAATGAAATGCATATCTAGTGCAATAAGTGCTAATTGTTGTTGTTGTTGTTGTCGTTGTTATCGATGTTGCGTAAATATAAAAAAATTTTGTATACCCTAACCGATTTGGACACTTAAGTTAAGCATGCGATATTTAATAGGGCATGGGAAATGATAATATGATAATGTGCTGGGCACAAAAAACACACAAAAACTGAACGCAACGGAAGCGAAACCAAAGAAAATAAACAAGTGAGAGGGAGAGAGAGGGGTAGCAGAAAAGAGAAAGAGTAAGAGCGAGACAGCTAGCTTGTCTTGCTGTAAGGTGTTGTTTGAGTTTTTATGCCTGCCTTGCAGAGAGGAAATTGCCGTTTTAATAGTTTTTTAATTAGGTAGCAAATGTTAAGTGTGCACCACTGTGTTCTGCTTCTGCCTATAATTCTTGTTGTTGTTGTTTGAACACTGTATGCGAGAGCGAGCGAAACCGACTGCTTGTTGCATAATCTGATGTGCTAGACACCCGCCCCAACTGCTGGGCCCTCGGGCACAGTTCATTTGCATCACGTGCACATTTCACACATCTCTGTCTGTCCCCACCCCACCTCCCAGTCGTCCGTCTGTCGTCTGACACCTGACAGGCTCTGGGAAAGGCATCACAGATCTATTTGCGCCCACCAAGATGAGTAAGCAGCAGCAGCAGCAGCAGAGCTAGCCGAAGTCAAGAAATTAAAATCCATTAAGTACTTTTTATAAATAAATCAACGACTACTAACCGCATGGCCCAGTGGAAGATACATAGCTCTATATATATATATATATATAAGCATATACACACACTCTCTACATACAGTCGGCACACTTTGTCAGTCGGAAAAAAGTGCTTCAATTTCGACTCGTAAAAATTATTCAAGTGTACAGCAGAAAAAACAGGGAACAGACACCAAAAGGAAAGAAAATAAGCTAAAAACGAATCAAATGAAATTACGCACGGAAAAATATCTTGAAAATGCCATAAGTTAGACACTCACACACACACGCTCAGCTGCAGTGTGTGCATGTGTGTGTGTGTGTGTGTGTGTGGAACTCAAGCGATTTGTTTGGGCATATTGGTTGAGGTGCTCTATAGGCGGCGCAGCATTTTGTCTGAATCAAATTGATTTGAGAAATAAACATTTTTCGTGTTTTCCACAAAACACACAAAAATAAAATTTCTGAATGACTTAAAATAGAAATAATTGAATCGAGATAAGAAAGATAATAAATAACATTTCAAGTTTAAAGAAAGAAAAAACAAAAAACTTTGATAAATTTCAAGAAAATCTGAAAATATTGAGATAAATTTGGCTCATAATTTTTAAAAACTAAACCCATTAAATAAAGGCAAGAAAATTTTCAATTTAAATTAATATGTTTGTGTGAGCATTTGAAAAAATTTTAATGTTAGCTTATAAAGAATGAAAATTAAATTGTTATAATTTATATACATTATTTTGTTTGATTTCATAATAATTAAAAATTTTTTTTTTGGTTGAAAACTTTTTCAATTTGAGGAAAATTATAAGAATTATTGATGATTACAATAATTATAAATAAATAAAAAAGAAATAATAATAATTCAGGGCATTTAATTTGTTAATTATTTATTTTAAATATTAACAATATTTTTCAATTAAATTTGATACATACTAAATTTTAATGGAATATATATAATTAATCAGAAATAATAATTTTTTTTTGTTATAAGTAGAAATGCACTGAATATGAAAGATTTTCTATATATATTCTTTCAATATTATTTCATTTTGATTATGATTTATTTGATATTCATTTATTATATATACAATATATAAATTTTGTGAAATTCATACCCTTTGATATTTACCATTTGTAGCAATAATATTTTGAGCTGTTATAAAATTTGCAATCAAAATATTTGGCCTGCCTTTGAAACTCTTGTGTTCTGTTTATTTGAAAAGTTCAAATATCTCAAAGTTGAGTTCTTTTATTTTTCTGGCATTCAGAGCGAAAATGAAAACATGAAAATTGCAGAGATTTCAACGTAGCCAAAAATATAATTAAATATGACATTATTTTGCAGCACGAAAAACGAAGGCGCAAAAGCATTTTCTAAACAACTCAATTTCAATTTTGTTTATGACCGCGGCCAATCTGTGGTGATCTATATATATGTA